TCTGATGATATTAATTTCTCTTGCAAGAAGGAACCTCAAAAATGACCATGCGAAAGCACATGGCGCGAGAAACTTAAACAACAAATGCTTGGGTCTGGGGATTTGATTGGAGGACTTGAAGGGTCCTGGTGATGGACACTGGTGTCGCAGATTTCGTCGCCCTGGCTCGCCACAGGGGAAAGAGGGGCAGTATTTGTGTGTACTGTAACTGATTAGGAATGGACTGGATCAGTATATGTTTGAGAAATGTTTGCTACTACGGAGTACTCTGTGGATAGGTGACTCTCGCTGCCCCCTGGTTTTTGAAGGGTAAGCTCGCGTAATTATTTTGTTGTCATTCAGTGAACTATGAGCATACCCAGTAATTCATTGCTCGGAAGTCGACTCGGCAGAAACCTGGACACCATACCGTTTGTTATCTTGAAGATATGCCTCATAAGTAAATCCGTTGAGAATGTACTTCCTATCTTAGTTACTTGATACCAAGCTGTCGAATGTCGATGCTGGGTCGACGCTAGGTCCCCCATTACTGCCAGAGGCGGGAAGCCAGGATGGGGTCAGGCCGTCAGACCTTAAGGTGTTCCAGATCTCAATTTGTATAATACCTTAGGTGTCCCTATATTTTGTCCTGCTGTTCAGGTTGCAAACCGAACCACGATTCTGTAAACACGCCGTTTACTTGGCTTTGACTTGAGGCCGACATACCTAGTTTTGCTCCCTAACAGCTACATTTGCTGATTAAGTTTAATATATATAGTTATATATGGTATGATATCTCCGACTGAGATACGAATCGCATCCCAGGATGGATTGGGGAAAGTTGGGTGTCTTAGTTGTCACATCATTGACGGACAAAGCCCTGGGCAGAAACAAACCATGTCTCAGAATGCTCCAATAGAGTCTCATCCCAAACTCTCATTGTCTCCACTCACCCTTTGCCCTGACAATCAGGAGGAAATAATAGTAACACATTGAAACAAATTAAGCACATATCTCTTGATCTCAGCTTCTGGTATGTTCAACTCAAAGTATTATACAATATCAATAGATGCCATTAAAATATTCAGTACAGAGTACTTAGGGAGTATGTGATGGGTGTATGAGTAGTCTAGCAACATGGATAAGGATACCCAATAATCCAGGAATTTCATCCATTTAATCCCTTACGGGGCACAGTACTTTGAATCTCAGAGATGTTTTAAAATTATCCGTCAGAATCAAGTGGTCACAGCTTGGCTGGTTTCATCCCCACATGCTCCTCTTCCCCTTCTCCATAGTTATTAGTTAGTCCACACTCCCGTAGCCTCATGTTGTAAACTTGTATCCATCAGAGGCTGCTCCATATTCCCATATCCTCCTGTCAGCCTCTTTGAGAGTCGCCCAGCCCCTCTTTAATTATATTATTCCTCTTTAGTAGCTGAGCACATTTTCTCCTTCTCCTGACCTTTGCTTTCCATCCATATCCAAGTGGTCAAACACTGCCATACAAGTTTAGAACGCCAACAGTGTCCGTGATTGATCCACTTTTGTATTAGATAGTATGCTTCATTTTGTTTCTTCTTATTATTTTTCATCTTGATTTTCGTCATTATCATTATTATTATTTTGTTGCCTCCTCTCAGTCCGTCGTCTTATATCTGTCATCCAGTCATACCTGTCTTTGTCCTTAGTTCTGTCTTTCCTCTCCTCTTCCCCCTTTGACCTTTCTCAAAATCACCTGTCAATTTATTTCTTCTTTCTTCTTTTCCCTTTTTCGCATATTTTAGCCTTGTATTTGTTCTCCCTCTCCCTTTTAGGCAACTTGCCTGTTTGCCTGCATACTAGTTGGCCAGACCTATCGAGATCCCTGTGCAATTTCTCTCGCTTGTTGCTCTGGATCGATCTCCAACCTGACCGACCCTGTCGGCGCCGTCACACTGCCGCCAGCCAGCTTTACTTAACCGCCCTCCCCGAAAGTATCTGACCACTTCGTGGCACACTTCCAACAGCTTTTTTCTTTTCGATTCATGCTCCTTTTGGGCCTGGATCATATCTCTCGGTACCGCGACTCGTCGCTCGTCTTCTTGTCTCTCCTTTTGACTTGGTAGTGGCGGTGCTCTGCTTGTCGCTGTCTGTTTTCGGGTTGCTTTTTCTGGGTATTTGTTGGCTAGGCAGCTTTCACTTTTCGAAAAGAGCAAAAGCCCAGCATAGCCGCTGACCACCGCCGCGCTCTCCCATCGGCGCGCCATTCCACTTTACGCCAACAAGTTACCAACAGCCGGAGTCGATTCTCTTAACGGAAGACTGTTCGACGATTTTCGGGACCTTTTGATATCACCTCTCCTCGACCATCGAATCAACATCATTATAGATACGACGCCTATACTCACTGACTGCGGCACGGCCCCATACCTTCTCTAGACTCTCCGAACTTCAACCAGCGATATATACAGAGTACAACCCACATACTCTTGATTGTTCCGCACCGTCTTGCTCCGTCCGCGAACCCGTCTGACTTACCGAGAACAACAAGTCCGCTATTCAATCAATCGGGATCACTGTCCGTTCCTTAACATTCCATATAAACATTTAGTCTTCCGGGATATTCTTAATCAGACTTTATACTATCATGTCTACGGCGGTTGCACCTGCTACAGCCGCTCCATTGCCGTCGCCGCATATGAATCGCGATCCGAGTCCAAAAAATTGCCCGACCCTGGCACCGACAACGACAAGTTCCCACTCCAGTTTGACCCCTCCACGAGCATCTGGCGTCTCACAAGATGGATCTGCCGCGAAAGGTTCATCACCGGGACGAAAGCACACATCACCATCGTAAGTGCCTCGACTTCGCTCGTGCAAATGCCTTATAATAAGCAAAACGGGTGATCATGGGGGTTTGCTAACACTAATTTTTTTTCTCCTCCGTCTAGATCACAAAACGGAAGTATCCCTCCCAAGGTGATAGTGAAAAAGGAGCCGCCATCCTCGCCTGCTATGCAAACTCAGGCCCACACTCGGCCCCGACCCCGAAAGCTGGACCTCTCCACGAGCCTCCCGACTGCGGGAGGTCTTTCAGCTCGCGCTGCTGGCGGTCCCATGACTGCCCGTGACGGAGTTACCATGCATGACGTTGGGATCGCGTGTTTGTCACCTGGGTTTCAGACTCACGATCCAATTATGAGGGAGCAGCTTCAAAGGAGTCTTTCCGTGCGAGACCAGCAGAGGTCCATCATAGAATCTCGGTTGCACAAGTCGGCCAAGGATGACGGCCCGGATGGTGTTAAACCGTCGGAGTCAAACTCATTTGGTGCCCCGAGAACGGGCGCCTCCAAGCGTAGACCTCCGCCCGGTCTGTCAATCGTACCTCCGTCTGCTGCGCAATTTGCCAACGAGCGTGTCATTCAATCGGCACCGCTGCATCAAACCTTTACCGGTCGATACCAAGCGCAGCCGCTGACTCGGCACGTTGTGAACCAGAGTCCTACCCTCGGGTCAACTTCTCACATTCACCATGTCCCTGCTACTCAAACAAATAATCGCCTTCCCCCGCTATCTGATGTCTTTGGCTCTGAAGCCCTAGGCTCCCGTGATCGGGACACTAGTCGCGGCACATACTATCAGGCTGTTTCAGGCGCAAATCCGTCACAACCCAATAACCTTCCGCCGTTACCATCTCCCAGAATGCCTGGATCTGCGGCGCAAGCGCAAGGTCGACCTCGGGAATACCGATCCGCAGAGGAGGCCGTCCATGAATTAGCTGGTGGACGTGAGGAGCTTCTACCACGCATTGTTCACTATGGCGGCCACCAGCCTCCAACTCCACCGTCTCCTCACGTGCCTAACGGACAAACCAAGTCGCGAACTAGTACAGACGCTGCGCCTTCAGCGCCCCATCCGCCTGTCCAGCCTGTATTACAGTCAACCGAGGGAACTGCTCGCCGACGCCCGAGAAGTGAATATGAACAGGATAACGGAAGTCCTCCCTTGGGTCACGGCCCCGAACCTCACTATCGACCTAATCCCGCTCTAGCTTCTAGCGCAAACACCACTTACGGGGCTTTTGGTGCAGGCAGAGACTCTCCCGAGACACAACGGAGAAAGAAGGAGGAGTTTCTCAGTCTGTGTGCCAGGGCTTGGGATCTCTTTCATTCATGAAGCATGATCATCTGGGACCTATCGTATCCCGTCATTCCGTCGGATGCTATTCGCTTGTTTCAGCTTTGGGCATAATCCTAGGAGTCAGATGTTGCGGGCTCAGATCCTCTGCATCTCGAACAAGAACGGAACGAGTCTAACTTGGGAGCAGACTTGGCATACTGAGATTCATAACAGCTGAAAATCGGACAGGCACGAAGCTTTTTGACTGAATGAGATTAGTCAGTTGAGATTGATGATTGCGAGACTTACGACTTATCCTTACGAACTCTTTCAAACCTCCCCGATACCAAAGCCGGAAATGTTATCATTTCTGACTTGCTTCCTGGGCCTCTTCTTTCCACCTTTTTCAGGCTGCTGTTCACTGGCGTTGGATCTTTTGGATTGGGTGCTGGGAAATGTCAACGTTGCACAATACTATGTCCATATCTGTTCTTCCCTTCCACCGATATCATTGCTGGCATTTGTCGCCGCTGATTTGGTCTTCTTTTTGTGATACCATTGTTCTTGTCACCATTTTCTTATTTTCCATTTCGACATAGCATTTTCATCAGACAAAGCTCATTTTCCCTTTTTCCTTAAACTTATTTTTCTTGTCCTGAATCTTACAGTAATGCCCGGCGCAGATCAATCCTCTCGAACCAGAACTGGTGATAATTCGAGAGAGACGTCATCTTGCATTTTTATAGCACAATTAGTGCGGACTGGTAGATCCAGTCAAACTTTAATAATGAGTTCTCATGATCATTTCCGTGATCTATTCAGAGTTCAGATGCAAGCTTTCACAGAAGAAATCATGTAGAAGGAAACAAACGGTTTCGCCATAAAGCATTGATGGATTGAAGATATGGGCACAATGTCTCTTAAGCAAGCCGTCTGCGTTTACCGCCCCCGCCATCATTGTAAGACGTGGAATCATGCTCCAGTCCACGTCGCTCCATAGGCATTTCCTTCCTCTCCTTAGCAGTCAACTTCTTCTGCCTTCTCTCGAGTGCCTTCACACGTTGCCTAGAGCCCATGCTCTCATACTTCTTAAGTAACACCTGCTTCTTGAGGTCCGACTTCTTGAGGAAGTACGGGTTACTCTTCTTTCCTTCGCGAATGAGGTCCTTCTCTCGTTTCTTGTGTTCCGCTAATACCTCCTTCTCCCTTCTTCTGTTTTCAATTGTGCGCAGACGGTCCGCAGCCGACCGGATATCACGCTTCAAGGCTTCCTTCTGTCTCGGATCCTTGGTCTTTGCGAGCTTCTCCTTCATTTCCTTGAGCTCCGCAGCGCGGTAATCGTCCAAGAAGGCGTACGCGCTTTGGGAAGCTTCACTACGACCGCTTTGGCTGCGTACCGTGGGATCGAAACGCGGGTCCCGCGATTTGAGGGCCGCCGGCGGCTCGATGATGGTGCGCTTGCGGGTAACGGGATGTTTGGATGACTGCACCATCGGTGCGTGTTTGGAGGAGCGGGAATGCTTCTCCGTGTCTTTCGACTTTGAGGATCCCTGTCGTTTCTGTTCGCGGGCTTCGCGGATCCGCGCGCGAATGTCGTCTAACGGGGAGGCAGCTGCGGGTTCTCCATCATTTGCTGTTGACTGCGAGGGTTTGGATTTGCGCTTGGCTTTGGGGCCTAATGAGGCTTGCGCTTTGGCGAGTGCGCCGAAAGAGATATTGCTTAATGAAGCCTGCACATCGTCTTGGCCGTCGTCGCTGTCTTCGTCGTCCTCGTCATCTTCCTCGTTTTCATCGCTCATGGCATCTGACTCGTCTTGGGACTGATGATGACTTTAGAAACGTGGGATGCCTGGCGCAAAGTTTTGGAAGGCTTACCTCAGAGCCATCGTCCCCTTCTGAGCTATCATCGCTAAGATCCGATCCTGATTCCTCAACCCCTTCATCATTACTTTCCGACTCGGATGCAGACGCTTCCGAGTAAACCTCTTCGTCCTCGTCTGGTAGAGCTCGTACTCGTCGGTTGAGAAGATCAGAAACAGCCATCCTCTTCAGTGGCTTCAGTTCGATACGTGTATCGGAGAATGGACTGCAGCAAAGTATAAGAGCGCAGTAACCAGCTGTGCTTCGAATACTCTGCGGCGGTGAAGACCACCGCAGAAAAAGTCGATTATACTGCCACCAGATAAGGCGGTGAGCTCGGCGGCGGGACTCTCGTTGGCCGCTTTTCTTTCCGCGCGGCGATTGTCTGTTGTCGCCTTTTGATTTGCCGTTCTTCCAACCATGCAAGCGCAGTCAATCTTTATCATTCTTTCTTTCCTTACGTATAGCGTCAATTCTTAGTCCGCTTCATGGTTTTTAGGCGCCGGGTCCATCCATTCATTAGGCTTGCTTCATTTATCTCATCTCTGCCGCTGTCAGTGACTGCTGCCTATCGCCGCATGCTCCAAGGCGGGGCGTCCGAGAAGGTGTGTATACAAATCCAAATACAGATGATCACCATGGTCGGCGACTGAACATTGGGTTCTCCTGCATAGGTCCTGCGCCATCTAAAAGTGCCAGCCAATTCTGCCTTAGCGTCGCCACAGCATATCAGCCCGTTGAAGAAACCTGAATTACAAGGTACCGTCGGCAGTGCTCTCGAAGATCTAGGAATGAGACGGTCAAAAGCTGTGAGAGATGGTACACCTCGAGCAGGATATCATCCACAGAACAATAATGATCTACCCGATACAAGCCAGAATTTGAAGAAATCATGGAGGCCGTATCAAGGTCGCTGTGATTCGAACAACGGCCTTTGGCGCTCCGACACAATGATTTCTCCCGGAACTGAAAATGCTGTGTCGAGCGGTTCGCGGAAAAATGATACACGGCGCAATGCCAGATCTTTTGACAGAATGTCAAGAGACGAACCGTCAACGTATAGTCCGCATCTATCAGGCTCTCGACCTGCTCAAGTTCCGCACATGCGACTACAGCATCCCTTCAATGCGCCGTCTACTAGTCCGCAATTTGACCCTAATATCAACTCGTTTGCTGTTTTGCCTATACCATCCAGTACACCAGACTTTATTAACAACATGGCTATGCAGCAGCCATTTGTCTCATCTCCCCTATCCAACTTGCAATCATCACAATCACAAACTTTGCCCGATAACCTCCCGTTTACCCCTTACGGTTTCCCGCCAATGCCAGACTTGAATAATCCTGGAAAGATACTACCTTTCATGCCTCCAATGCCCCCATTTCCTCCCATGAGCTTGAGTGTTTCCAGTCCAGCATTGGCACCACCAGTTTTTGGCGGGTTTCCGTTCTGTCCCTTCGACCCAATGTATCCTACAACGGCTGGCCCTACTGGAGGCAATTCTCAGGGTCCAACACCGCAACCATTGCTCGAAATACCACCGCGTGATCGGCGATCTAAGACCCCGGAGCCTCCTGCGCCGACTAAGGAGTATCTGACGCGATCATCCTCGGCCCCGAAACTACATCCCAACCGCCAACCTCTACTGGTCATTCTTGACCTGAACGGCACTCTGATATTTCGAAAACACAGACGCCTGCCCCCTTCTTTCGCCAAAAGGACTGGCCTGGACCAGTTCTTGGACGTTTTGTTGAAAAACTACAAAGTCATGATCTGGTCCAGTTCGCAACCTGAGACGGTAGGCGCAGTTTGCGAGAAACTGTTTCCTGGCGAGAAAAGGAAGTCACTGGTAGCTGAATGGGGCCGCGATAAGTTGAACCTCTCAAAATCTCAGTACAGGTCAAAGGTGCAGGTCTATAAGACCCTAGAGACAGTGTGGAGCAATCAAGAGATTCAAGCCTCGTACCCCAGCTCCCATCAGAAAGGTCGGTCTAAAATGAAGAAAAAGGCGGCGCAAGGGAATCCAAGGTGGGATCAGACGAACACCGTTCTCATCGATGACAGCAAGCTCAAAGCGCTCAGTGAGCCCTACAACATCCTCGAGATCCCGGAGTTCACGAACGCACCGGGTATTGATGAGTCTCGCATATTTCCCAAAGTCCTGGAATGCCTTGATGCCCTAGCGCAGCACGACGACGTCAGCAAGTTGCTCCAGGTCTGGAACTCKAAGCTGGCGGCTAACGCCACAATCCTTGATCTCGACATCGGGGTGAATCAGTCTTCACAACAGCAAACCGGGAGTTCTTCGATGACGCCGTCAACACCCCAGGAAATAGCCCAGGCACGCAAGGAAAGACGAAGAGCTCGCAAACAGGAGAAGAAAGCGGCGCGACGGGCTGCCGCTGCTATCGGCGCTGCATCTGCCAACCCACCCACTGCCGCTGCTGTGTCTGCCATAACAGCTGAAGGGGGCAACGAAGGGGTTACCCCGACCGACAACACCCCAGCTACTCCGGCTGAGGACAGTGCTATCCCAAGAGCTACAGATGTGCCGCAATCGCATACCAGACGTTCTCCCTCTCCCGCCTCCTCAGTGCAATCGGAAAACTACCTTCTCGATCGCCTAGAGGAGTCGTTGAATGTTCGCCGCGACTGATTTGACTTTTTGTACTTGTGTTTTTTGATTCACGAAGAGGATACCCCTGTTATGTGTTACTGTAAATTTAGGTGTGAAGTTATCTGTGTTTGGAATAGATACATTGCAATTTGAGCCTCGTGACACTTGTCAAGAAAATACATGGCGACTTCAAATGCGCCATTTACGGGGACGGCGTGCATCGAACATATTACTGGAAACATAATCTGAACAGAAATATGCTAGGGTCAAGAAGTGCTTTTTGGCTTCTTCATGGCTAGACTAGCTACTATCATTCCACATCTCAAGATATCATTAGCATGGATATACAATATCCATGCATTTTAGGAAGAGGATCTTTTTGAAAGTCAAGTCGACGAATGAAAATACGTAAACCATTCAGTCGTGGGCAACGTAGACATTAGGCGGGTCAATTGGGCGCAGAGGAGGGCGAGAGGGATATCAATGGAAAGCCAGGCCCATTACCCTTCTGGTAACAGGTACGTATGGGGTGTATCCTGAAATGAAAGGGCGTATGGCCAAGGCTTGAGTTCATATAGAAGCTAACCCAATATCATGAGGGGAAGAGAGGACATGACGAGGTCGCTGATAGCATTTTCAGGACACCGTCTATTTGAAGACGTGACCATCAACGTGGGGGTACTCCTTGCCGTCAACAGTGACGGAGGTGTCCCAGGCCCACATGTCCTCGACGAGCTTCTTGTCCTCGGGGTTGGAGGGGTCGAGCTTGCGGAAGTCGTAGCTCTCCCAGTCAGGGGCAACCTCAAAGGCGGGCTTCCAGTCCTGGCCACGGACCAGGAAGACACCGCGGACGACGCAGTTGTAGTTCTCGCCGTAAACGGACTGAGCACCGAAGAGGTACTTGCGGGAAGCCTCGAGACGGGCGTGGAAACCACCTGCGATGGAAAGTCAGAAAGTGGGGGCGATATGGAGCCAAAGAAGTCAAATCCTTACCGATCAGGTTGTTGGCCATGAAGGTGAGCTTCAGCTCGTTGTTGTACTTGTAGTCAACAGCATAGAGAGAGTACTCCTCGGGCTTGTAGTTCTGCCAGAACCAGGGCAGAGCAACGGGGCGGGTATCCTCGTTAGAGTACTGGCGCTTCCACTCATCCAGGACGAACTCGGGCTTGCCAAGAGCCTCAAGAGGGTGCTTGGGCTTCTTCTCAGGTTGAGCCTCGGGCTCAGCAGCAGGAGCAGCAGGCTTGGCAGGGGCAGGAGCAGCCTTGGGCTTCTCCTCCTTCTTGGGAGGAGTGTACTTGATAGCCTCCTCAGCGATGACAGGGCTGGGGACGACAGCCTTGAAAGGAGCCTGGTTGATGATAGTGTTGTACCATCTGGCGACGGCAACGTTCTCAGAGCGCCAAGCCTTGTCCAGAACGGTAGCGAAAGCGCGGGTGAGGAGAGAGGCACCGAAGTAATCGGCGAGGGTGATGCGCTCACCAACCAGGTAGGTGTTGGCGGTGAGGTGCTTCTCGAGGACGGCGAGAGCCTTGTTGGCAGCCTTGGCGGCGTCTTCAACGTTCTTCTTGTTGTAGGGGTCAAGGCCCATCAGAGGGCGGTACCAGGCACCGAGCTTGGGGAGGACCTCAGAGTTGACGAAGGAGAGCCAGCGAAGGATGGCAGCGTAGTCCTGCTTGGTCTTGCCCAGGAGAGTGGTCTTCTCGTTCTGGGAGGTCACTTAAATCCAGTTAGTCTCAAAATATTCAGGACCAGTGGTGTTTGCAACGATGAAACAAGGTCAATTCCATTTTGGGAAATTTTCTGCCAAAAGGCGGGGTAACCAAAAAAATTCAGAGTTGTAACGTTATCAACACAGTAGTTCTGCCAGGGATAACTAGTAATAAAAAATTGCTCATCATGTAAAGGAATTCGACATAGCTGATAGTGGAAAAGAGGGACATTTATAGCAAATTGAAACATACCGTAGACAGCGATGGCGATGGACTCGGAGAGAGTGAAGCCATTGGCACCCTCGAAGGCAGGGACCTTGCCGAGAGGGTGGAGCTTGAGGTACTCAGCAGACTGGTTGAAGGCAGCGGCAGAGTTGGCCTCAGTGTTGACCAGCTCGAGCTCCAAGTCGTTGCACTTGGCAGCGACGAGGGCGGCGATGGTACGACCGTTCTCCTGTTTGAGTGATTCCGATTAGCCACCTGTCCTAAGCAGGGGAAGCAAGGCAGCTGAATGGATGTAATCCATCAAACCGAGGGAAATCAATCAGGCTGATTAATGAGAATAACACATACAGGAAGACCGTAAAGCTTTCCGAAAGCCATTGTGAATGTGAGATGTGGATGGGGAGATGTGGGAGAGAAAGGAGAGGAAGAGGGAGGAGGAGGGGTGGGAAAAGGAGAAGCTGCTCAAATAAAAAAAGGCGACACCTGAGGGGTTCTGGCGGAAAAGAACGACGAAATTTTGTGCGAATCAAGACTCGGCGTCGGCGATCGGAGGAACGTTTGGTCGCTCACGTGATATGTCATCGAAAAACCTCAGGCTTGCCCAACAAAGGCAGAACAAGGATAGGCTAGGATTTCGACGGGGTGGCCACACTGCTACAATTTCTCCCTCCGCCCACATTCATTGACAGTCGTCCCACGATATAAGCAAGGCTCCTGCCTGCCGGTTTCCTCGATTATGGCGTGGCAGAGGCCTAATTGCATCGTTCAGGCGGTGCAGTCAGTCCGAACAGCTCAGTTGCAGTCCATCCTCCGAACCTCCATAGTTGCTTCAAAGAGCTCATTACAACAGCGAAAAGGCACACGAAGTTATGCAACTGAGGCCCAAACCGCTGGTGGAAATGCTCTCCAGGTACGAGCAGCTCCCGAGATCGATTTCTCCCAACTCGCTACCCGTCCTGCTCGGGTCATTCCCGCATCACCGGCCTACTTCTCCGGCAGTCCCAAGTTCATCGATCATTTATTGAATTTGGAACGTATCTGCGCCAAGTACGCATCGCTACCTACGGTGTCCCCGAGCGAAGCGCCCCGAATGGCATGGTTCAAACTTGCGCAGTTCCGCGACTTTGTCGGCGAGCCCGTACCGACGAAGAAATACAAGAGCTTGGTCAAGATTCTGCAGCGACTCAATCGCATTGACCCTGCCCTTCTCCCCGGGGAAGTCCGCGACACCTTGAAGACTTTTCTTCGGCCGGGTAACCCGTACGGAAATAAGCCGGCACCGGCGACAGTGGACGAGATGGGCCGAGCTCGCGGTAGGGGAAAGCGCAAGACCTCTTCGGCGGTGGTCCACCTAGTCGAAGGCGAGGGTGAGGTCATGGTAAACGGCAAGACGCTGACGGAAGCTTTTCCCCGTCTGCACGACCGTGAGAGCGCAACTTGGCCGCTGAGATGCACGTCGAGACTAGACAAATATAATGTGTGGGCTACTGTTCGAGGAGGTGGAGTCACTGGTCAGGCAGAGGCCATCACATTAGCCCTTGCACGGGCACTGCTCGTCCACGAGCCTGCGCTGAAGCCGATTTTGCGAAAAGGTACGTTACAGATGATACCGGTTCGGTGGACAGTAAGAATGTTGCTAACGGACAATTTTTCCTAGCTGGTGTCATTACCGTCGATGCTCGTCGCGTCGAGAGAAAGAAACCCGGTCACGTCAAGGCTCGCAAGATGCCAACCTGGGTCAAGAGATGAAGGCATGTTTATTCTCTCTTGGTCCTGGCGTGCTGTCTGTTCTTTACACCATTTACTGTTCTTATTTTCCCAACCTGTATCATTATCTCACTTGCCATCTTGATTCTTGAATGAATATACCTTCGACTCCTCCGCATCACCGTGAGTGCCATGGCGGTTTGTTTCAAGACAAGACACTTGCATGGGTGGTCTCGGCGACAAGCAATGTACCTTAGTTTGACTCTTATCGGGCGTTACCCTCAGATGACAATGAAATCGATTGATTGGAATTGTGGACAAACAATGGACGAACATTGAGAAGGCCGGCAGCAGGAACTACGACTCCTGACTACTGTCAAATCAGTGCACACTAACCAGAACGATTCTAACTTCCCGAGTCTCGGTCCAAATTCCAAACTGTAGCCCGAATGCAGAAGAACCAAGCAACCCAATTGAAAGATCCAAACATGTAAAAAGGAACAGAAAGAGGTGCGCGGATTTCCGTACGAGAGGGGGGAGGATTGCGCGGACCTTGTACGATGACCGACCAGCCCAGTGCTGACAGAAATGAGAACCAACGTTACACAATACACACTCTGCCGTTGAGCTCTCCTCGAGTCCGAGTCCCGAGTCTCGAGTTTCAGATCGATGAAGGGATCATGTGTCGCGGACTCAAAGTCAGACTATCGCAGCTATTTGTTGCTATTGGCAACGTGGCGCTGAGATCATCGGTCTGCGAACTGAGAAGAAAGAGGGAGCCTGGATACTGAGACGGCCGAGTGACAGTTCGCAGGAGGAGGGTTGCACATTGCTGAGTCTGACTTTGATCATTGTTGTCATCTCCTGGGTCTGTTTGCAATGTTCCTGCCTGTCTATGGCTTTATTTATGAATATATTAGGTAATCACAATGGCAGGCAGAGGCCATTTTTTTGATGCCCTTCGATGATGCTCAATATTTGTTGTTACCTCAGTATGCCATGTGTATTGTTTTCACCAGTCATATGATGCTCTGCTTTGATATTTTGAAGGTTGAACTTGACACTCGACTCTCCGTTTGGCACTGACGATGATCTTTCATGAATAGAGATCAAGTAGAATGATTCTGCACTACTAGTGACAGCCCCTCACATATCCCAACTGTTCGCATTGATGGTTGACTAACGTGCAGCTTGGCAGCCTGGCAACGCCTCACTTGGAATATCCGTAGTATCATTGGCAAAGCTGCAAAGCTGGAAGATCATGAGCAGAAGGACAACAACAGGAAGGAAATACAAAGTAATCACTCAGTCACGTCCCAGGCGAAGTATTTCAAATCAACAAATACCGATCATGATTTCTATTGGATCACGCCGCAGCCGTCAGTCCCGATCTGACGC